AGCAAAGAGTCGGACTCGACTGTGCGACTGAACAACAACAACAACAAAACAATAACGAAGCAGAAAAGAAGCTGTATCATAAAATGGACAAATCCAAGAAGGTGTGAGGAGCCTCCTCAACAGCAGGGTTCCCCGACCTTGTTGAGCCTGCAGGCACATTTGGAACTCTAACATGGCACGGTGGGCGCAGCAGCAAAATGGCGACATAGATCCTTGCACTGTGGCAGCAGCTGCCACCAAAGCAGCATTTAAAAAAAAAATCTCCACAAGCAATCTAATCTCCACAGAATCATAGAGTTGGAAGGGACCTCCAGGGTCATCTAGTCCAACCCCCTGCACAAGGCAGGAAATTCACAGATACCTTCCCCCCCACTCGCCCAGTGACCCCTGTTCCATGCCCAGAAGATGGTAAAAGAACCCCTCCAGGATCCCCGGCCAAACTGGCCTGGAGGAAAACTCCTTCCTGACCCCAAGGTGGCGATCGGCACTTCCCCGGGTGTGTAAGAAAGGGCCACGAGAACTAAGCGCTGATGCAACCCTTTCTGCCGTCTCTCTCATGATGTGCCTAAGTTCACAGAATCAGCATGGCTGTCAGACGGCCATCTGGCCTCTGCTTCAAAACCTCTAAAGTAGGAGAGCCCTCCTCCTCCCGAGGAAGCCTGTTCCACTGAGGATCCGCTCTAACTGTCAGGAAGTTCTTCTTAATGTTCAGCTGAAACTCTTTTGATTCAATTTCAACTTATTGGTTCTGATCCGACTTTCTGGGGCAACAGAAAACAACTCCGCCCCATCCTCTTTACGTACCCTTCAGGTACTTGAAGATGGTGATCATATCCCCTCTCAGTCGTCTCCTCTCCAGGCTAAACAGACCCAGCTCCTTCAACCTTTCCTCCTAGGACTTGGTCTCCAGACCCCTCACCATCTTCGTTGCCCTCCTCTGGACATGTTCCAGCTTTGGAGGGTGGACTGTATAGCATGATACCCCTCTGAGCAGTGTTCCCTCTAAGCTGAGGTTAGTGTGAGCTAGCTCACAGTTTTTTAGCCTCCGCGCACTTAACCACGACACCAAACTGGCTCTCTTAGGTTCTCTCTTAGGTTCTTATAGGAACTCTCGGTCTGGGGCAAGTGATGCTCTGTGTTCTTGGTGCTTGGGGAGCAACAGTGGGAGGGCGTCTGGTGTCCTGGCCCCACTGCTGGACCTCCTGAGGGCACCTGGTATTTTTGGCCACTGTATGTTACATCTCTCATCAGGCCATTGGCCTGATCCAGCATTGGCTTCCCTTAGGGTCTTATGTTCCTGCCCACGCTCCACCTGCTTTTCCATTATTTGCTGGACTCTGCGGCCAGACCAGCGTTGGGCAGAAGGCCCAGACCATTTCCGCAGGAGTCAAATCTCCCACATTGATGTTTTTAAAACCGCACGTTGTGTGGGATTTCCTGCAGTAGGTTTTTCCACACCAGGCGCAAACCCCAAGTTTTTTCCTCCTCACCCCGTGTTTTTGGGATCCCTAGTTTTAGCGGGTTCCAAAAAACGTGGGGTAAGAAAGAGAAAACTTTGGGTTTGCACCTGGTGAGGAAAGATCTATTTTTTGGCCACTGTGTGACACAGAGTGTTGGACTGGATGGGCCATGGGCCTGATCCAACATGGGCTTCTCTTATGTTCTTCAATGGAGCAGTGGTCAGTCAGTGGCTCTTAGCCACAAGGTATAGATAGGAACTCTCGGTCTGGGGCAAGGGATGCTCTGTATTCTTGATGCATGGGGGGGGCAAGAGTGGGAGGGCTTCTGGTGTCCTGGCCCCACTGCTGGACCTCCTGATGGCCCCTGGTATTTCTGGCCACTGTGTGACACAGAGTGTTGGACTGGATGGGCCATGGCCCTGATCCAACATGGGCTTCTCTTATGTTCTTCTATGGAGCAGAGGTCTGTCAGGGGCTATTAGCCACAAGGTATAGATAGGAACTCTCAGTCTGGGGCAAGGGATGCTCTGTCTTCTTGGTGCTTGGGGGGGGGCAACAGTGGGAGGGCTTCTAGTGTCCCGGCCCCACTGGTGGCCCTACTGATGGCACCTGGTATTTCCGGCCAAGGTGTGACAGAGTGTTGGACTGGATGGGCCATTGGCCTGATCTAGCACTGGCTTCTCTTATTTTCTTATAAGAACATAAGAACATAAGAGACGCCAATGTTGGATCAGGCCAAAGGCCCATCCAGTCCAACACTCTGTGTCACACAGTGGCCAGAAATACCAGTGCCATTATGTTAAGAATGGGCAGGCAAAGAACCAAGGGCGACAGCGAACATTCACATCCCTGCTTCTCACCCTGAGGATGCATTCCTTAGACTTGTGAAACCCCTCTGGTGGGAGTGTGGCTTGAGAGAAATAAATCCTATGGACGAGTCCTCCCTTGGCTGCAGAAAACCTCTGGGAGGTTTATGTCTGGTACGATCCCACATTCTGTACAATCGTCGTTGTTTTTTCCTGGCAAGGCTGCTATTTATTGGCTGGGGAAATGATGCTTATTCCCGGCAATTTATTTCCCTTTCCAGGAAAACCTTGGACCGGGTGGAAGAGTCAGAACTCTCCATGTTCTGTTTCTTTTTCGGAGGCCCCACCAGGCGAAGGATCCGGCTAAGCAGACCTCACACGGCCCTGGCCTGGAATTTCCCTTTCCTTGCTGAGCCGCACCGTGGCTCACTTGGGAAAAGGGGTAAAAGGCCTCTAAAGGGCTGGAAAATTGGGGAAGAAACACAAAGCTTAGCTCTGCCGTTTCGAGAGGAGCGCTTGGCCCATGGCCCATGGCCGTGTGGATGCTCTGTGCTGGGCGTGCCAACCTCCAGGCTGCCCCTGGAGATCCCTTTCTATTAACAGTTGATTTCTGGAGTCTCCAGCGGTTCTTCACACCGTTCAGCTCTCCCGTCTGCTTGTATTTCAGCGGAAGTTCAACTCACCCCCACCGATCCGCGATGGGTCGGCGCCTGGTGGCTGGGGTTCATCTTCGCATCTGCTCTGGCCGCGGTCTCGGCAATACCTTATTTCTTCTTCCCAAGAGAGCTGCAGAAAGAGGTGAGGACCCGCCTGGGGTGTGTGGCTAGTGGCACAGGCCCGGACCGAGCCTCCATTTAATGCGCTGTCAACCAAGCGGGTGGGTGGGTGGCTTTCAGCCTCCTCGAACAATAAATGGGAGGGACTTGGCTTGACAGCATCTTATGTGAAAGGGATCTGGGTGTTCTGGTTGATCACAAGCTAAACATGAGCCTGCAGTGCGATGCGGCTGCGAAGAAAGCTAATGCAATCTTAGGATGCAGCAACAGAAGCACTGTGTCCAGATCACGGGAGGTGGTCGTTCCGCTCTATTCTGCTGTGGTCAGGCCTCACCTGGAGTCCTGTGTCCAGTTTTGGGCACCACATGTTAGGAAGGATGTTGACAAGCTCGAGCGTGTCCAGAAGAGGGCGACCAGGATGGTGAGAGGGTTGGAATCCAGGTCTTATGAGGAAAGGCTGAAAGAGTTAGGTATGTTTAGCCTGGGAAAGAGAAGGCTTAGAGGGGACATGATTGCAGTCTTCCAAGTATTTGAAGGAGCTGCGGTGGCTCAAGTGGTTAAGTCGCTGAACTGCAGGCTGTGGAAGGTCGGTAGTTCAGCAGTTCGAGACCCGAGTGTGCCGCATGACGGAGTGAGCTCCCATCTCTAGTTCCAGCTCCTGCCAACCTAGCAGTTCGAAAGCAAGAAATTGCAAGTAGATAAATTGGTACCACTTCGGTGGGAAGGTAACAGCGTGCCGTGCACCTTGGTGTTTAGTCATGCCGGCCACATGACCACGGAAACGTCTTCAGACAGCGCTGGCTCTTCGGCTTTGAAACGGAGATGAGCACCGCAACCCTAGAGTCGGATTCGACTGGGTTTCGAGCAAGGGAACCTTTACCTTTACCATGTAGAAGACGGAGCAGATCTCTTCTCTCTTGCTCCGGATTGCAAGACTAGATCTAATGGGTGGAAATGACAAGGGAGTCATTACCGGCTAAATATCAGGAGAAACTTCCTAACTGTGAGAGTGGTTGAGCAGTGGAACAGTCTGCTTCGGGAGGTGGTGGATGCTCCTTCGCTGGACGTTTTCAAGTGGAGGCTGGACGGCCATCTTTCGGGTACGTTGTAGGGCTGTCTTTCAGCTGTGCTTCTGCAGAGTGCAGGGGGTTGGACTAGATGACCTGCAAGGTCCCTTCCGACTCTAACATTCTATGATTCTATGAAATCTAGCGCTTTTGAACACAGATGAACACACGCCTCTGCCTCATGCCGAATCAGACCCTTGGTCCATCGAGATAGATCAAGATGGGCAGCCACGTTAGTCTGTCTGTAGCCGCGGAAAAGAGCCAGAGTCCAGGACCACCTTCAGGACTAACAATATGTGTGGCAGGGGGAGGAGCTTTCGTGCGTCACGGCTCCCTTCTTCAGATACAGCCAGAATGTGAGTCCATCTGTCCTTATATCACAAGGTTGATGGATTCCCATTCTGTACGGCTAAACGTGGTGCCTTCCATGGAGACAGATCAAGACGGGTAGTTGTGTCTGTCTGTCTGTAGCAGTAGAAAAGAGCAAGAGTCCAGGTGCACCTTCAAGACTAACAAAATTGGTGGCAGGGGAAGAAGAAGAGGAGGAGGAGGAGGCGAAGGTTGGATTTATACCCCGCTCTTCACTCGGAGTCTCAGAGCGGCTGACAAACTCCTTTCCCTTCCCCTCCCCACAACAGGCACCCTGTGAGGCAGGTGGGGCTGAGAGAGCTCTTGACAGAAACGGCTCTTTTTCAAGGACAGCTCTTATCAGAACTATGGCTTGCCCAAGGTCATCCAGCAGGTGCAAGTGGAGGAGTGGGGAATCAAACCTGGTTCTTCCAGATCAGAGTCCGCACACTTAACCACTACACCAAACTGGCTCACCTGTACCTTACTAAATCTCCCTTGCCGATGTGGATCTAGAACCTGGCAAACTTACTGGGGAGGGTTGGGTTTGGGGAAGAAGAAGAAGAGGAGGAGGAGGAGGAGGAGGAGGAGGAGGAGGAGGAGGAGGAGATTGGATTTATACCCCGCTCTTCACTCGGAGTCTCAGAGCGGCTGACAAACTCCTTTCCCTTCCCTTCCCCACAACAGACACCCTGTGAGGTAGGTGGGGCTGAGAGAGCTCTTGACAGAAACGGCTCTTTTTCAAGAACAGCTGTGCCAGAACTATGGCTTGCCCAAGGTCATCCAGCAGCTGCAAGCAGAGGAGTAGGGAATCAAACCCGGTTCTCCCAGAAGAAGAAGAGATTGGATTTATACCCCGCCCTTCACTACCTGAAGGAGTCTCAGAGCGGCTCACAGTCTCTTTTCCCTCCCCCTCCCCACAACAGACACTGTGAGGTCCGTGGGGCTGAGAGAGCTCTCTCGAGGACTGCCCTTGAGGGAACAGCTCTGAGAGAAGGTGTGACTGACCTAAAGTCACCCCAGCAGCTGCATGTGGAGGAGTGGGGAATCAAAGCCGGTTCTCCCAGATTAGAGTCCGCGCTCCTAACCGCTATACCGAACACTACACCAATGATTTCCACTCGGAGCAATTTGGAGGAAAATTTTATCGATGAGAACATCAGGACAGAACACAAAATGGGAAGGAAGGGTGATGGATCACAGACTACGGTGCGGACAGAGTCATATTTTCTCGTGCTGCCAGCAGGGAAAAACAAAGCCACTGTAATCCTTCGAGGGTAACGCTTTGGACAGCACAGAAAAGAAGTATTCTGTCTCCCAGATTGTGTTCCCGCTCCTCGATGGTCCATTTCCCCTACGGATCCGGTCAAGCAAAACATGTTCTCGTTCTCTGTCCCAAGGAGGAAGCACTTTTTTGTTCTTTGCTGAGCTCTGCAGAGAATTGCTGGCACGCGCGTCACTGCAGGCAGCCTGGAGGAGCGAGGCTGGGAACGAATGGCTCTTTTTTCCCAGGCCTTGGTTGTGCCTGATGGCTAAGGATCCCTTGGCGTGCTTGGCAGAAGGAGCAGCAACAATCACCTCCTTCCCGCCCACGCTCCACCTGCTTTTCCATTAGGTGCTTTCGCCAGACTCTACAGCCAGAATTATGGCTTCATAATTCTTTTAAAATAAGTAAATATAATCCCCCTTTTAAAACCCTTTGTATTTATGTGTTTTTTCTTGTCAAAGTCAACTTACCTTACGGGGAAGACAAAGAGCCTAGGGCCTTGGCTTTCTGGCTCTTCTTGGGCTTCTTACAGAGCCCCTAGTCTAAGAGTCCCTAGTCTAAGAGCCACAGGCAAAGAGCCCTCTGGCAAGGTGCTTTCTTAAATACTGAATTACAGTCAATCACAGTCAAACAATGCCCCTTCCTCTCCCTCTCTCAATCAGCCAGGACTCTGCAACAACTCTAAGCGCTTTCACACACTCCCAAACACAGTTTTCCCACACAATATCCTCAGCTGAATCCCCGCAGCTGAAAGCAAGTAAAAAACACTCACCCCTCTAGCAGCTCTGTCTCCTGCTCCTGCTCAGAGCTCAGCTGGGTTGTCAACCTCCAGGGGGTGTGTGGCATCCTGCTTATTGGGGAGACTGTTTCTCCTTTAAAACTCACTCAGTGTACTTGAACTTAGTAAATTTCTACTGCCACCAGGAATTTAAAAAATCCAACTCTCTCTATTTTGGTAGAATGACCCAGTGTCTGGGCGCTTCAGAGGACTATGTAGCCCTGAGGAAGGACTGTTCTGATTCCTGGGATAAGTTTAAACAAATAATGATTTATTTATAAAAGAACAAAATAGGTTTCTGGGTAATTTTGAACTGTTGTTGAAGAAAAAAAACTTAACTGACAAAACTTGGTGTCACACACAGTCTCTCATACACCAAAACTCAACTCTGACAGGCTTATCTCTCTCTCTCTCTCATATACAGCCACACAGGCTGAGCTCTCTCTCTCATATAGCCACACAGGCTAAACTCTCTCACACATATAGCCACACAGGCTGAACTTTCTCTCTCATATATAGCCACACAGGCTAACTAAACTCCCACTGCTTCCTCTGTCATACAGACTCTCCCCAAAACTCTCCACACTCGTCTCTTCCAAAACACAGAATCACCTCATAGACATCTCTCCTCCCACACTCTCAGTCATCAGCCAGTCACATCACACTCCTCTCCCTCTATCACTCTCCATACATTACTGCAGTCAAACTCAACGTTTAAAGAAACACACACACCAAAACAAGAAACCATTACAGGGTGGCTGGAGATCTCCTGGGATGACAACTGATCTCCAGGCGACAGGCATCAGTTCACCTGGAGGAAATGGCTGCTTTGGCAGGTGGACTCTGTCATCTGTACCCCCGATGAAGTCCCTCTCCTCCCCAAACCCGGCCCTCCTCAGTCTCCAACCCCCCCCTCCAGAACACAGAGTGCATTTTCCCCTTTGGAGGGTGGACTCTGTGGCATTGTACCCCCCCAGGGGTCCCCGTCCTCCCCAAGCTCCACCCCTCAAATCTCCAGGAATTTCCCACCTTGGAGTTGGCAACCCTGCCCCCCCAGCCCCTGCCAGGGGCTAGGGGGGACCTGGCCACCCTATTTCTTCATTCGTCATTGCTTAGCTTCCGAGAGAGTTTTCAAGGCAAGAGACATTAAGAGGTGGGTTTGCCATTGCCTGCCTCTGCGTAGCAACCCTGGGCTTCCTTGGCAGTCCCCCATCCAAGGACTAACCAAGACCAACCCTGCTTAAGCTTCCCAGATCTGATGAGATCAGGCTACCCTGGGCCACCCAGGACAGGGCCAAAGACATGCAGAGGTGGTTTGCCATTGCCTGCCTCTGCGTAGCGACCCTGGACTTCCTTGGTGGTCTCCTATCCGAGGACTAACGACCCTGCTTAGCTTCCGAGATCTGATGAGATCAGGCTAGCCTGGGCCACCCAGGACAGAGCAAAAGACATTCGGAGGTGGGTTGGCCATTGCCTCCCTCTGCGTAGCAACCCTGGGCTTCCTTGGCGGTTCCCCATCCAAGGACTAACCAAGAACAACCCTGCTTAAGCTTCCCAGATCT